CGTGGTGGTGTGTGCTTCCTGTAACTTCTCGGGGCGTGGGACGTGGTGGTGTGTGCTTCCTGTAACTCCATGGGGCGTGGGACATGGCAGTGTGTGCTTCCTGTAAGTCCAGAGCTGAGGCAGAGACTGACTGGTGATCCCTGGGCTCAGAACAGCCAATCTGGCCTGCTTGCTGAGCTCCAAGCAAGTGGGAGAACTTCCTCAAAAGAGGGCAGGTTGAACCTGAGGATCTGCCTGGCCTCACATGCCTACCCTTGTATGTGGATAGACATGGAAACACACACACACATTATGGTTTTTTTTTTTTTTTTAACTTTTCACTCTTTGGCTTTTTGGAGGCCTGCTACCCAGCTCCTAAATAAATCACACGGAGGAGGCTTATTCTTAGTTATAAATGCCCGACCTCAGCTTGGCTTGTTTCTTGCCAGCTTTTCTTACATTATTTTGACTACCCTTTACCTCTGGGCTTTTTCCTTTTCTTACTTCTGTATATTTGACTTACACTGATTTTTGTCTTTCGAGACAGGGTTCCTCTGTAGCTTTGGAGCCTGTCCTAGAACTCACTCTGTAGACCAGGCTGGCCTCAAATTTACAGAGCTCTTCCCGTCTCTGCCTCCCCAGTGCTGGGATTAAAGGCGTGCGTCACCACCGCCCGGATTGCTTTCACTCTTACTCCATGGCTGGGTGACTGGGTAGCCAGGTAGCTGGCCTCTAGCTCCTCCTCACCTGGTTCTCTCCTTGCTCCTCTTCGTCCTTGTTTCTCTTTCTGTTTGTCCTCTCTGCCTGCCAGCCCCTCCGATCCCTTTTCCTGCCTCACTATTGGCCATTCAGCTCTCTTTATTAGACCATCAGGTCTTTCAGACAGGCAAAGAATCACAGCTCTGGAGTTAAACAAATGCAGCATAAACAAAAGCAACACATTTTTACATTATTAAACAAACTTTCCACAGCATAAACAAAAGTAACACACTTTAAAATATTCTCCAACTCTCCCTTACTCACATAGCCTCACATCAGGTCTGCCTAAAGTGGCCTATCAAATGGGCCATGGGGCCAACCTTATGCAATGCTTCGGGTTCAGACCTTTTAGACTTCAGCATGGAGACAGGGGCTATGGACTTGTGTGAGGCCTAACCTCTGCTGTGGTGGAGTTCCTGGGAGAGTACGGCATTACTCTGCTAGGCGAGTGTTCAAGTCTCTTGGAGAGGCTAAATGTGAAGCTGTTTCATGTTGGAGGAGCCCTGGAGACAGAGCCTCTGCACGCCCACCTAGACGGAGCCACCGGCCTTTCCTTCAAGGCCTGCATTTGGTACCAGGGCACCTGCGCTTCATGCGACAGCACCTTCGCTGTGGTCCCGCTCAACATAGCATACTGAGCACAGTACTAGAGAGTGCCTGCACTTGGTACAACAGTGCCGCCTGCATTTAGTACAGCAGCATCCGCATCTAATACATCAGCTGTACTTAGCACAGGCCCCCTGGGGTAACAGGGGACAAACATACAATGAGCTGGAGTTGGTGCTGGGCCTTCCCCTGGCTGCTCCCCATTTGGTTTAGCAGAGCAGGTCCCTACGATGGGAAGACAGGGGGTTCATCTCTTCCAACTGGATCCCCAAGCACTGCCCATGCCCACTTCCCATAGGGCACTGTCTTGAGGGAAGAGTCCAGGGAGCCACATCTGTGTCCTCTCCTCCCAGCCCTCTACAGCCACAAGCCTGAGGTGGCCCAGTACACGCACACAAGCCTGCTCCCGCAGACCATGCTCATCACAGACACCAACCTCAGTGCCCTTGCCAGCCTCACGCCCACCAAGCAGGTAAGGCCCTGCCTCCTGAAGCCCCACCCAAAGCTCCACACTTCCTTGCCATGGGTTCAGGGCATTACTCTGGTTGCCTAGGTCTTCACCTCAGACACAGAGGCCTCCAGTGAGCCTGGGCTTCATGAACCATCATCTCCAGCCACCACCATCCACATCCCCAGCCAGGACCCATCGAGCATCCAGCACCTGCAGCCGGCCCACCGCCTCAGCACCAGCCCCACCGGTGAGCGGTCTGCTGTCTCCCAGTAGGATGCGAGGTGGTGTGTGCAATGGACTGAGGGTGGATGGGGGGTTGCCTCCTGTGTGGAGGTCAGAGGTCAATTTCAGGAGTCAGTTCTCTTCTTCCACCATGTGGGTCCCAAGGATTAACATGAAGTTATCGGCTTCTTTCTCTTCCTGTCCACCCCGAAGCACTCCTACCCACCAGGCCATCACCCCAGGACTCACTGTTTAATATTCTTTGAGTGGCCAGAATTAAAAATTCAGTTTTTGTTGGGTGTGGTGGTCACACCTTTAATCCCAGCACTTGGAAGGCAGAGGCAGGTGGATCTCTGTGAGCCCCATGCCAGCCTGGCCTACAGAGTGAGTTCCAGGACAGCCAGGGCTTCACAGAGAAACTTTTGTTTTGAAAAACCAAAACAACAAACAAAACAAAACAAACCCAAAGCAACTCAGTTTTTACAAAACCAGGAGTCTGGCTCTGGCCTCATCTGGAAGCTGGGAGGGCTCATGTTCTTACATTATAACAGACCTGCATCCCTCAGCCTTCCCCACTCCACTACTAGGCTTACAGTGCCTGGGGTCTGAGGATGGCTGTAAGGCAGTTTCTGGAGACACCATCTCGCTATAGGAATGGGAGCCGTCTCCCACAGTGATGGCGGCAGATAGGCTGGGCTCAGGTCAGCCCCAGGGCTCGCTGTCACTCTCAGTTTGGGATCTCTCGACAGCGAAGATAGCATCCACACTGTGTACAGGGAGCCGTGGAGCACAGCTGCAGGCCAAGTGCATCTGCCATCTGTCCGGCAGACCAGCAGCAGACTGGGACACACTGGGGACAGCAGCAAGCAGGAGAAATCTAGGAAGATTCAGTTTCCTCTCTAGTTTAAGGCTTCTGATTAGATGTGTGCAGTCCCCATGGTCAAGGGTAACTTCTTTTACTGAGAGCCAATTCACTGTTAACCACATCTATAAAACACCTTCTGAAGAGCTGCATTCAAGCGTGAGGCCTTGGGTTCAAGTCCCAGTAATGCAAAAAACACTTCCAGCCATGTTAGTGTTTGACTCAGCCCAGCATCTGGGAGGCTTTCTGTGGGCCCTGAGGGGAGAGGGATAACCTAGGCTCTTGGAATCTGTTGTGATTCAGAAAGTGAGACTCTGCCTTCTCCCTCTGGAGCATCCATCCCTAGGGACAGACAGGTGGGGTGGAGGTCAGAGGGGACTTGACCGACAGCCAGTGACCTCATTTGCTTCTGCAGTGTCCTCCAGCAGCCTGGTGTTGTACCAGAGCTCCGACTCAACCAACGGTCATAGCCACCTGCTGCCATCCAACCATGGTGTTATCGAGACTTTTATCTCCACCCAGATGGCCTCCTCCTCTCAGTAACCATGGCGACTGTCTCTCAGGAGCTGGGTCCCCAGAGCCTGTACTTCCTGCATAGGGGGCAAGAAGGGAACGGCCATGCTGCCTGGAGGACATCTGAGCCTGCCATGTGTTTCCTACCATAGGCTCCTGGCCTTCCCAGAAGTCTTTGCTTTCATCCCATGGTTACTCCTCCAGCATCAGAGAGGGATGGCTCTCTGCTGTCTCAGCTGAGAAAGGGGACCAAACAGGGCTGGAAGACAGCCTGATCTGGGAAGTGTTTTGAAAGCTGCTTAGAACAGAAAACTTGCTACTTGGAACAGAAAAGGGAAGCCTGTGATGCTGGCACCCCTAGTCAGAGTCTGCAGCCCCCACAGGATGTGTGCTGAGCCCTGAGGCCCTAGATCCACACAGCCGCCTTCTGTCTCTGGTGCATCCCCAGGGCCATTCCACCCAGCGCCAGCACCTATCTGTGGAACACTCGCCCCACCCCAAACAGCCATTTCCCAAGTGAGGCCTGGGAGCTAAGGGGAAGGCACAAAGGGCTCTTCTAGGCTCTCTGGAACTGAGCCACCCGCTCCCAGCTCCAGGACCGCATTTACTCCCTCTGATGGACTGATGGACATGTCTTCTGATGCCAGCCTCATGCCTCCACTAGAAAAGCCGCTTCCAAGAAAGGGGTTGTCATCCCTGTTCCTTAGGATGTGTGACTCGCCATGTCCCGGGCCATCAGCTCCTCTGGTTTTAGGGCCCTGAAAACTCTTCCTTCCTGGTGTAAGGGAGGCAGAACTCAGAAGGCAAGTCTGGGCAGTGTCTGGTGGAGAAAATGCTGAGAGCAGCCGAGAAATCACCTACATGGCCTGGGCTGAAAGCCATGCTGAGGAACCTGAGGTCTTGAGTGTGACTGTGAGAACCCAGAGCACACATGGCCTCATCTCCCTGGGCCTACTGCAGAGGATCTGGCTCTTAGGGGCTCTTGTCTGGGTCTGAAGAGCCTAGAGAGCATTGTCCCCTGCAGCGTACAGTCAGCTATGGACAAGCCTGTACATTTATTTAACTTTTAGTAAAGTCAAAGAAAAATGTATGGAAGCTTCCTGCTTATCCTTCAGCAGCTGGAGGGAAGGCAGAGGGAAGGTGGGCACAGGCCAGGGCCCTGAGGCATAGACAGCCCTGAGACACATGGTCACACGTCTGTTTCTCTTGTGTCACTGGAAACGAGGCGAGGAGACACCACCCAAGCCTGTGCCTTCTCCTCGCAGATTCACTGCAAGGAACCCAGTCCACACGTGGTGCCGTTCCCAGAGTCTTGAAGTTGGGGTGAGGAAGCAGATTTGGGGGATGGGGGGCTCCCACATGCGGTTTTTATTTAAGATGTCCCCTAACTTTCAGCACTGAGGGTGGGATGCGGTTCAGCGGTAAAACACTTGCCGAGTAAGCGTGATCACCCAACACCACAGCACTGACAGCACATTCCTGTCTCCCTACTCAGGAGGCAGAAGCAGGAGGCTGTCGGCCGCAGGCCAGTCTGAGCTACACAGAGACTCTTTCAGACAAACAATAAAACAGAGAGGGTCAGCATCAAGCAGGGCAGTCCCTAGGCTACTTCTTGGGTCACTGATAATTTATTTTCCCTTTTTTTCTTTGGTGCTGGGGCCAGAACTTACTTGGGGCCTTGCAGCCAAGCCTGCACCCTAAATTAAGTAGGTCCCCAGTACTCTGGCACCTGATGCAGTAACTGACCTGACTTAGACATGTTTTTATGGATGGCATATTAAAAATTTTGGAGTAAGAAAATTCTGGGTAAAAAAGGAGGGGGTATCTTTCCTTCTTTTCCTGGCAACGCTGTTGAGTCTGTGTGGGCTGGGGGAGGGGTACAAACTTTCCCTGGGCCTCAGTACCCTGGAGACCCTTCCTCTCATTTCTAAAGACCACGTGTCACACCTGGCTGGGCAGGTAGGGGAGATGGATGCTCTAAGACTCAGTCTTAAAAACTGGAAGTGTCCTCTGTCCTGAGGTAATAGAATGTTCTGGAACCACAAGCCCAGCTAAAGTCACTGTGGGCGGAGGCGGTGCTGGACCTGGAGAGCGGCTTAGCTTTGCCTGGACTCCACAGGCGCCTCAGCCTCAAGAGCTGGCGGCTATGATGCCTCAGGCTGGAGTCAGTCTGCAGGCCCAGCTGCTGCACACTCTGCTGGGGGGCGCAGGGAAGCCTCCCTGGCTTTCTTGGCCTTTTTCTTCTTTTTCTTCTTTTTGGTCCCAAGTGATGCTGGGTCCCCATTGACGGTGCCTGCCTCCTTTTCCTGTTTCAGGCCTGTGGCTCCGGTTAAGTCAATGTAAGCCTTCTTCTCGGCTTTCTTTTTCAATTTCTTTCTCTCCGCCTCCTTCTCCACCTCAGCAGCACAGTGTATGGCTGACTCCTGGAGAATGTCCGAAGCAGACACAGCTGCCTCCTGGCACCGCTGCCACTCCTCGTCACTGTCGTCACTGCTGCCGGGGAGAGCAGCTGGATTAGCAGGAGACTGGATGGGACTCACAGCTACCTTGTTGCCTCTAGACCAGGTGGAGGCAGCCAAGGAGCTGGGGCTCAGGGCTGAGGCAGACTCAGGCTCCAAGGTCAGCTTGTCACTTTAACTCTCTGACCTCAGCACTCCCATCTACAATGAGGACCTTGACAGCACCCAAACAGAGGCAAGAATGATACAGGGAGGAATCTGGCCCAATGTGTGGAAAGCCTTAGCTCCCCCGAGAGGACCCTGTGCGCTTCCTGCTGGGGCACACTGCCCTAGGATCTGACAGGCTTCTTCCTTTGATCTGGACCTGACTCAGCTACTTCACAGGATCAGCCAGGAGAGGAGAGAGAGGAGAGGCTGTGGGCTCTTACCTGGAGCTGGGGGGCTGGCGTTTTCGGCAGGGTTTCGGAGAAGCTTCCTTCTTGTGGCCTCCGGGGATAGATGTGAAGAAAAGGCGGAAGCCTATGAATCGTGGGGATGGAGTCAGGATTGGGAGAAGCAGGCACTGACCCATCCAGCTGTCGAGGCTACCGTCTGTCCTCGGGCCCCCCTGCCATGTGCGTGTAAACCGAGGGCTGGCTTGCTCTCCTGTGGAGCCAGAGGACAGGGGGCTTGAGAGGCACCCACCCACTGGCTGCCAAACCAGACAGTAAGCTTCAGAAGCTTCTGGTGGACTTTGAGACAGCGTCACTCTATGTAGCTCTGGCTGTCCTGCAGCTTGCTATGTAGACCAGGCTGGCCTTGAACTCACAGAGGTCCACTTGCCTCTGCTTCAAGTGCAGGGATTAAAAGTGTGTGCCACCACACCTGGCCTTCAGAAGCTTCCAGAAGTCAGGAGTTACATCTCTCACCTGCGGCAGCCTCCAAAGAGGCTCAAACATAGGACAGGATCAGACAGAGTAGGCGGGAAAGACTGTGGGACAAGAAGGCAAAGCGCTTCTGCAGGTACCGGAGCTAGCTCACTCTGGGAATGGGTACCATAATGCCTGCCTCAGAGTGTGGGGAGAGCAGATGTAAGAAACCAGCCCCCTGCACGGCTAGCCCCACGGCGCTCCGTGCACACGGTGGACCTCCCCAGGGCAGTGTCCACCAGCACCTCAAGGACTCACCGTCCTCCGCCTCTGCCACGGGCTGCACCTCTGCCTTGCATGGCTTCTTCCACACTTCTGAGACAGCGATGGAGCTAAGGGAGAGCAGGTGCAAGACTTAGGATGACATTTTGGGTAGCAACAAAAGTACCTTTTGGTTTTAAATCTAAAAACTTTCTATTTCTTTCTTTCTTTCTTTCTTTTTTTTTTTTTTTTTGCTTTTTCGAGACAGGGTTTCTCTGTGGTTTTGGAGCCTGTCCTGGAACTATCTCTTGTAGACCAGGCTGGTCTCGAACTCACAGAGATCCGCCTGCCTCTGCCTCCCGAGTGCTGGGATTAAAGGTGTGCGCCACCACCGCCCGGCTCTATTTCTTTTTTTTTTTGCTGGGTTTGGGGCACAAGACTGTAACCCCAGAACTTGGGAGGGTGAGGCGAGAGCATCTCGAGCTATAGCGTGCTCCTGCTCACCTGTCCAGCATGGCTCCCAGCTTCTTGGCCACAAAGGCTCGGAACTCAGGTGTGGTCTGAAGCTCATTGCCATCTTCGTCATGCTTGTTCACCTCGCGCCTGTAACACACGGAAGGCCATCACTTCCTGACAGCTTAGAAGCTGCCCCCACAGGAGAAGGCCCACGTGTCTTGTTCCTGCTGCCACCCTGTTGCCTAGCCTAGCCCCTGGAACACACAGTGACTCAGAAGCTTCTATCCGAAGCACAGTACCTGTGGCTTGGCTGGGATGCTGGCACCTGTTTACCTGCAGCATCTGTGGAGCGAGGAAAATGAGGTGTTTAGTTTACAGAGTGGACGGTAGCAGCGTGGGCTAGGTACATTTTAGATGATTTACACGTTTGGCTCAAGGGTGTCCCCAGCCCTGCCCATTTCCATTTGGGGTCAGAGACATGTAAAATAATATGGCTAGAGTCTAAAAACTAATTCCTTTTTTGAACCCAGGTTTTGTTACATAGCCCAGGTTAGCCTTGAGCTCACGCATGACTAATAGCTGATGTAATGGGGGTTAGAAAGAGGGTACAGGTCATCTGGTTCCGGAGGCCCTGTTAATGTTTAACAAGCAAACCTAGTGTGTTATGAGTATGGTTCACTGAACGTCTACTATATGGGGAGTAGGCTGTGGAAGAAGAAACTGGCTTTTGTGCGGATCACTGCGGATGCTGATGGTGGGCAGAGCAATGAACGGCTGAATGACTATTAATAACCAGATGCCCCACCCACCGTACAGCTCAGACAAGCGTCGGTGTCCTCAGAGGTCTTACATTCCTGGTGAAAACAGATGCTAAACGACAGTAACAGTATCAAATTGGATAACAGCAGCAGTGTATAAAAAGCACAAAAGAAAAAGACAGGAGAGGCGAGCACAGTGTGTGTGTGGGGCTCTTCCTCCACAGGTGGGCAAGGAGGGCTTTGCGAGGTAACTGATGGACAGAAATCTGAGAGAGGAATACCTGGAGAGTCTTCCAGGCAGGGGGAAGCAAGCTGCTGAGGGAGGAACCTGGGGTGCTGAGCAGAGATAGATCGTGGGGGCTACATCACCCAGGTCTCCCAGGAAGGCAGTGTGAGGACTACAGTTCTGAGAAAGACGAGTCAGTGAAAGAGTCAAAGCCTCCAGTGATATAAACTGGTTTAGGTTTTTATAGCATATCTCAGCAGGATGAGACCAAAGAGCCGAAGGGCAGACTGAGATTTGCTCATATCACTGAGGACTCTGAATACAGTGTAATGATGGAGTCTACATGGTGGGGTGGGCTCGCTGTGTGGGAGAGATGCTGAAAGATGCCTCTGAGAGTCTGATGTGGACAAAGTGAAGACAATGGTCACTGATGGCTCCCAGAACAATGCAGAGCGTGGGGCACCGACTCCAGGGCAATCACTGTGTCTCTGTCACTATGTGTTCACAGTGTGCCTGCCTGATACACTCTCAAAAGCCTGATGGCCCTGGATGTGGATGTCTGGGAGATGGACACCTGTCTTCCATAACATGAAGTCACGAAGAACAGCTCCCATTATAGCAATGGCAAAGTCCTCCCAGGACACAGAAAAAGGCTCCAACTCCGGACGCAGGGTGAGCCATTTAACTTCCCAAGTTTTTGGTTTTTACACCTATAAACTGAGGAAATTACCTCCCAGAAAAGGTAAGTCAGTTCACCAGGAACTTGCCCCTGGATCATGGTAAAAGCAGAGAAAGGATTTCTGATCTCCACATGTGTACGGGGCACCTCTGTGCATGTGCACATGAGTACATGCACGCAAAATAAAACTCAATACAAAATTTAAAGAACACTTTTTGTTTGTTTGTTTTTTGAGACAGGGTTTCTCTGTGTATCTTTGGAGCCTGTCCTGGAACTAGCTCTATAAGCCAGGCCGGCCTCGAACACACAGACATCCACCTGCCTCCCGAGTGCTGGGATTAAAGGCGTGTGCCACCACCGCCCAGCTAAAGATCACTACTTTTTAAAGGCTATGGCAGCGCATATGCACGCCTTTAGCCCCAGAATTCAGGAGGCAGACACAGACATCTCTGTGAGTTAAGGCCAGTCTGGTCTACATAGTGAATTCCAGTCAGGCCACTAGAGAGAGACTCTGTCTCAAAACAAAACAAACAAACTAAACCAAACACCTTTCACAGTTGGTGTCATACACTTGGGTTTCATGTCGACCCCCTTCCTAGACTTGAAATGTTTACTGCTGTAGGTTGGTGTTTAGGAACAGACTCACTTGTGGGAGTCAATTCTCTCCTTTCGCGATAGGTACTGGGGATCCACACAAGTTGCAGGCTTGTGTGGCAATTGCCATCTACTGATCTAGAAATGGGTCTAAAGATTGCAGGAATGGTAAAGTAGAGAAGAGTGTAAATGATTTCTTTCCAACATTATATTGTGAACAAGACACATCAGTGTATCTGTAAAAGATTGTAACGGGAGAGCTATAACAATATGGTGACTTCTGCTGCAACAAAGTAGCAGGTATTGTCAAACGACTGTGGCTTGTGGCTCACACGGATGAGAAAAAAAGATGTTAAATTTAATTTCGTATAGAATGAATGTAAAGATGCACTATTTTTTCCTATTTCAAATCATGGGGCCTGTTGGATTTTCTAACCATGATTAAGAATCCCTATACTGGCAGATTTCGGATTCATTTCCGGTTTGCTAGGGATTCACGGTTAGATAGTCACTGTGACCTAGAATGGGGCAGCATGCGAGGGCCGGGAAAGGCAGGATTTTGAGAATACAGGACGGGGATGCAGCTCAATCATGGTTACCTTCCCAGAGAATGGCAGTAAGGACACATGCAGGAAAGCGCAGTCGGGAGACATTTAGGTCCCTCAGCTGCCTCCGCTGGAATAAAGGAATCGCCCTCCGCGTGAATGTGATCCCCACTTGGTCTCAGGAGCTTCAGAAAGACGCTGCGACTCCTACCCACCATCCATCCTTTCCAGGGCCCAGGGGAAGAACCCCGCTCTTCGGAGAGCCCCATACCGGTTCCAGGTTTTTCTGTCCATTGCGGGCGCTGCTCCAGCCCCCAGGCGGGCATCGCTGCCTCGCGGCATCGCTCCAACTCCTCTGCATCGCTGTTGCTACTGCTGCAGCTCTCAGAATCACTCATGGTACCACCGGGCGCCACCATCTTGAGATGCAGCAAAGAATTGTGGGGGAAGCGTCCGTTTTTGATTTGCCCTTCCTTTCCACATGACCCACGTGAAGAAGGGACGCTCAGAGCATCATGGGAATTGTAGTTCACAGAACACCGTTGGCGGTGCATGGTCCTGATAGATGAGCTCCAGAATGGTCTTCCAACCGCTTTTTCCTCTATATTTCTTGAATTATTGATTTTTTTTTTTGATGCAGGGGATTGCTGTGTAGAGGCTGGCCTGGAATTTTCAACCCTTTTGGTTCATCCTTCTGTGATCTGGCGTTACACGCACCCCTATGCCTGGTTTGCAGTCTTAACTGGATGGGGGAAAATGAGAGATATACATAGGGAACAATAATATTCTGAAGTCAGCTGGGTGGTGGTGGCACACACTTTTAATCCCAACACTCAGGCAGAGGCAGAGGCAGAAGGAGCTCTGTGAGTCTGAGGCCAGCCTGGTCTATAAGAGCTAGTCCCAGGGTGTGTGTGTGTGTGTGTGTGTGTGTGTGTGTGTGTGTGTGTGTGTGAAACAAGGAGGTAATGACAGAAGCAAGATAGCAAGATTAGTTCTTTTTAAGGAAAAATGAATTTATTTATGATTTGATGAAATCAGGAAGGCAGCTAACCACCTTTTAAAGTTCATATTTGATCTTAGGAAGATTGTTAACTATAGGCTTCCAGGGTCTTACATACTGGGTCAGAATGACTCTTGGAATAGCTGAGGCCTTGCCAGTTACAGCACAGTCTATAGTCCATAGATAGCTGCAGATTAGCACTTGAGAGTCTGTTTGCTTTTTGAACTCCCTCTGTGATCTGCACATAAAGCGAGCCTCAAGGTGGGTGTGGAATACTGCCATTTGGGGCCCACCCCCAGCATCTTAATTGTGGGAAACTGAACATGGAGGGTCATGAGAAATTTGGCAATAGTAAAGATTTCTGACTGTGCGTTTCAAAATCAAGCGTGTGATGAACCTGTGATGTTGCTGGCGCTTGCATAACCTAAGTGCAGTGTTGACCACGTGATCTGCACACTGTACTGGATGTGTCTTCACATCACAGGGTGCCAATGGAGGCTGGAACTCCCTGGCCTAGCTTGCCAGCCATGAACTGCAGAGTTCTTGCTGTATACAGCTTTCCGCTCTTAGGAAGCACGGCAGTGCAGCTGCAGCAAACAAAGAATGCTTTTTCCTGCCATTCCTTAGCACATACCAAGTCAGTGCATCCCTGAATTGCTTTCTAGAAGAATACTTGTTGTAAAAAGTTGCTAACTTGGGTTTCATTAGGAAAAAATTGTTGACTTTTGTGCTGAGTTTAGGGCAGCGTTTCCAACAACTTCCGAAACGGCCTTAAACATGTGCCTGTTGTTTTGTAGTGTATTTCTGAGAAGAGGCATTCTCATTATTGATGGTTATAGAACAAAATATTGATCCGCTCTGACAAACATCGAAGTTCTGTGTCCTGTTGTTGGTTGTTTTGCTCTTCTGGCTTTGGGGACAAGGCCGCCACCCAGCTCCCAAATAAATCCACACCTAGAGGCGTATTCTTTCTTGAAAAGGCCTCTGGGTCTTTTCCTTTCTTACTTCTGCAATCTTCCTTTCACTCTTACTCCGTGACTGGCTGGGGGGCTGGAGGGCTGGGGGTTGGGGAACTGGGGGACTTAGTGGATGGCTGGGGAACTGGGTGGCTGGGGGGCTTGGGGGCTTGAGGGCTGGGTAGATGGCTGGAGATCTGGGGGGCTGAGGAGCTGGGGGGCTGGGGAGCTGGGGAGCTGGCCCCCAGTGTCCTCCTCTCCTTGTTCTCTTGCTCCTCCCTCCTCTCTCATTTTCTCCTTCTATCTATTCTCTCTGCGGCCAGCCCCGCCTATTCTTCTCCTGCCTTGCTATTGGCCTGTCAGCTCTTTATTAGACCATCTGGTGGTTTAGACAGGCAAAGTAACACTGCTTTGCAGAATTAAACAAATGCAACACATCTTTGCAGCATTAAACAAATGTTAAACAGCATAAGCAAATGTAAGACATCTTAAAATAATATTCTATAACAGTGTCCCTCAGTATCAAATGTTTAAGAAAGATTTATATAAAAATGAGCAAACATATCCATCTCATTACCATGCAGAATTATTTTTGTGTTTTTTCATGTGTGTGCATTTATGCATGTTTATGTTATGTGCACATAGGTGGGCATGAGTGTGGAGGTCAGAGGTCAACCTTGAATATTTTTCCTTAGGTGCTGTCTGTCTCCCATGATTTTGTTAAGTCAAGGTCATTCACTGGCCTTAAACTCATTGAGTAAGCTGGTCTGCTAGCCAACAAGTCCTAGGGATTTGCCTGGCTCCTTCCCCGGAGTGGGATTACAAGTGTGCATCACCATGCCTGGCTTTTGTTATGTGGGTTTAGGGTATGGAACTCAGATCATTGCACAGCTAAGCACTTTACCCCTCTGCCCTTTTGAGATGGATGTACACGTCCCTGGCTAGCCTGGAGTGTGCTGTGTAGACCAGGCTGGCCTTGAACTTGCATTGCCCCTCCTGTTTCTGCTTCTCTCATTAGGATTACAAGCATATGTTTGTAATTACACCTGCTTGCTTCAGTCTTTAGTCAATGGCAAAATTATACGCACGCCAAATAGCGTTTTATTTATTTATTTATTTATTTTTTTGAGACAGGGTTTCTCTGTAGCTTTGGAGTCTGTGCTGGAACTTACTCTGTAGACCTGACTGACCTTGAACTCCCAGAGATCTCCCTGCCTCTGCCTTCCAAGTGCTAGGGTTAAAGGCATGTGCCACCTTGGCTTCAAATAACTTTTTTTAAAAAAAAAAGATTTGTATTACATTTATTTATTTGTGTGCGAGCGCACAGGCATGTGTGCATGCATGTGCACAGACGTGGAGGTCAGAGGACAACTTGAGAAAGTCAGTTCTGTATTTCTTCTATGTGATTCCCAGGGGTCAAACTCAGTTTGCCAGGCTTGACAGCAAATACTTTCACCTCCTAAGCCATCTTGCTGGTCCCAAAGAGTTGTTTTAAAATGTATTTCTCCATGATTTGTTCCTGTGTTTATTTTGCGTGCTTATTTTACACACTTCTATGTCTGTGATAATATAAAAAAATATCCTTGAAATGAAAGCAGTCTTGAGTGGAAAGGTTTTAAAGGAGTGGCTGAGAGAAGGTTCAGCAGTTCAGAGCGCTTGTTGCTCTTGCAGAGGACCGGGGTTGTATTCCCAGCATTCCTGTCCATAACCCTCTGTCCACAACTCCTATTCTAGGGAATCCGACACCAACCTCTGAGGGTACCAGATATGAACGTGGTGCACATACATACACGCAGGCAAAGCACTCACACACATCCAATAAAATAAAAAAAAGCCTTAAAATTTTTAAGTGACCACCATGATCAGAATGTTTGACTCTCCTGCAAACTCCTTAAGAGATGGAGCCTTTGGAAATGATTGACAGGAAAGAGAGCCTTTATCACTGCTGTTAATGCTCCCAGAGCTGCCTTTCTCTCCTTCTACCACATGAGGACATAGTGAGAAGCTGCCATCTATAAACCAGCAAAAGGTCCTCACCGGGTGCCAATGATCTTGAACTTCTCAGTAAGAAACAAAAGCTTGTTATTTATAAGCCACTGGATTTACGCTGTTCTGTTATAGGAGTCTAAATGCACCAAAAACAGTGACTTATTATTCTGGTCAATTTTTTTTTTGAGAAAGGGTTTCTTGTAGCTCAGTCTGGCTTCAAACCAGTAGTCAAGGGTAACTGAATTCTTGATTTTTCTGCCTCTGTGTGGGGATTAGAGGTGTTCGCCCCCACACCTGGTTTGGGAAGTACTGGGGATTTCACAGGTGCCAGGTGAGTGCTCTACCAGTGGGTCTGCCTCAGCCCTGTTCGTTCCTCCTTCAAAGCACCTACGGGGGCTGGACTATGAAGTACACAAAGATATGGCTGAGTAGCCTGTTTACCCTTTGGAAAGGAGATGCTCTTCCAGGCCTGGAGGCAGAAAAACTAGGGATATATAGAGTATTATTGTTAAATTGCCCAGAAGGTTTTGAAAACCAGTTATAAAGCTATGGTAAGTCCACCAGAAAACAGATCAAAAGGGAGCCTTTGATGGGTTTTTTGTTTTTTTGTTTTTTGGGGGTTTTTTTTTTTGGCATAAATCCAATCACAACATCCTTTGACAATGAAAATGAGGGGTTTTTGGTTTGTATGTTTTTGTCTCTAGACTATCATGGCCAGTAAACTTTGAGTCAGGGTCTCACTATGTAGCCCCTGACTAGAACTCACAATGTAGACCAGGCTGGCCTCCAACTCACAGAGATATACCTGCCTCTGTTTCCCAGGTGCTGGGATTAAAGGTCTGCTACCATGCACAGAGGGGATTTTTAAAACACTGTCTCATCCTCAATCTCTGAGACTTTGCCTCTTTTCATCTGTTTTTTTTTTAAACCTTCATCAATCCCCAGAGTTGAGAGGCATCTGTAGAAATGAATAAAAACCACTGAAATGGGAAGAAATAGAGGCTGTTTATTCTCAATTTGAAAGGGATTTGGTGCCCTACCTTGCTTTTGATAGTCAGAAGCCGGCACAAGGGGGGTGGGAGCAGGGAAGGCTTCAGGTGTGCCCTGATGGAGGTTGGAGATGAGGCAACCTGAAGCTGGATCCGTGTAATTGGTTGAGAAGCCTTTTGGCTTCCTCTGAACAAGTTAAGAGTAAACTACCAGTTACTGACCAAGCCCTGATAGTGTGCCCATGAGGCCTGCAGCGGTGGCTTCAGAATTCCATTGCCACACAGAGTGTCTGGCTATTGTCTGATTGCATACGACTTCACATCCTTTCTGGTCCCTCCCTGGACCACCCCAGCGGAGGACTGGAAGGAGGGGTGACCAGGCTGAGTCTCAGAGTGAGCAAAAATCCAGAGACCTTTACAGAAGAAACTAGCTGGGTGCCAATGGAGCTTTCCCCTCCCTCTTCTTGGACAGGTTGAGGGTGACAC